GCCCATGAAAGGACGACGCTACGGTACGATTAAGGAGATACAAACGGCATCGAAGGAGGAGCCGAACAAGAATACAAAAAAAGATTTTTTGAAGTGCTTCGAGAAGTGGAAAAAACGTTGGCACAAGTGTATAACATCTGGTGGGGATTAGTTTGAAAGGAGACAAAATAGGTATTCATGAATAAATAAATAATTTTTGAAAAAACAGAAAATTCGCGAACATACCTCTCATTAGCATGCCTATGGTTAACTAGCAATACTCATGGTATTTGACACATTATCACATATTAGAAAGCGTATAAGCAAATGAGTTTTTATTTTTCGGTATTTTGCAACTCTTCGTCTATTTTTAATGGCACTAGCTGCCACTGACCCCTACAAGACGATTTTATAGATGCCGTGCATTTTAATAAATCTTTTTCTTACATTTACAACTGTTCTCAAATTTTTGGCTTTTAGAAAACTGTGTTTCATACATGCTCCGTTTCTATGTCCAGTTTTAGACTATTTTTTTTAACCTAATTATGTATAACGCTCGCGAAGCCCATCCTTAACATAATCAGCGAAGGCCGGGCGTAATTTTAAATAACGGATACAACAAATTATTCAATTCTTCTTATTTATTAAATAATAGATACAGTGTCAGTGTTACTGAGAGTTACTTCACTTACAGGTTGTTATCATTCACCGATGAAGTGAGTCGGTTAAAACAATTCTCGACTGAAAGTCATTCTTTTCGTTTGTTTTTTATTACGTATTTAAGGAAACAGACCATTTTGTTTTCATCCTTCCGGTGCGAAACAGTGTTAGACAGCCTTTAGATCGTAAAATGGCCACGTAAACAAAATATAACAACAACTACAGGGAAACCGCTAACTAACCAACTAACTGTGTGATTAAAACATCAACTGATTATTTTTGTGTTGTTTCCCAATTCAAACGCGATGGCTCATGCGGGTAAATTTTTCGTGGGAATCGTTATTGTTCTTATTTTTTCCGAAAAAGGTAAGATGCAACCAATAATTCAATTGTTTCTTGTTTACCTCATTATTAAGTGACGACAGTGTTCAATAAAGATTTAATTTTTGATTAGGTTTAGCGACTCAACAATCAGTGAGTGATCATATTATATGTATAAGTTCGTTGAATTCCATACTTCGTTTGCAAACTACATACTACTTGACCTACTGACTTCAGACGCTGATAACCTTTTCTGTTTTACCAACAGATTTAATCATTAAAAACAAGTTTTTCTTATTGCAAAACTTTTTCTATGTTTATTTATTTACATTTTTTCTCTTGTGCAACTAATTTATTTTTGTCACAATTGGTAACTTTTTCGTATCCATTACCGTGACCTAGCATTTAATTTCCTGTTCAACTAAACAATTCATTGACGATTACTTCGCCTTTTACGTAACCATTTCATTGTACCCAGCATCTGATGAGTCTCTTTCATTTTAAACGATTTGTTTTTCGACATTTTAGGAAAAGCAATAAAATGTTATCAGTGTAACAGTCACAATGACACCAGATGTGAATATGAGAAAGTACCGGAAGACCTGTTAAAGGACTGTCCTATAAGAAACACAGTAGCAAACAAGGATTACATTTTATGCCGTAAAATAAAACAAAGTATCGATTTCGAAGTAAATGGACGTAAGTAGACGGTGACAAAACTTTTTTAGTCATTTTAATAATAACAAAAGTCGAAAGAATTTGGCACAAATGCTCCATGGAGGCAATAAAAAAATGCTATTATTAAAACAGTCGCATTGTTGCATCGAATGCGAGATTTTATGTTTTACTTTTAACGTTAGTTAAAAGTGTCGTTAAACTTTTAGTACCTCCGGATTCCCGTATAATTAGATCGTGTGGTTTCATAGAAGCGAATTACAAGAACAAATGCTACCACAAGTCGGGTTATGGCGGCCGGCAAGAGGTCTGCGCATGCGACTCCGACGCCTGTAACAATGGAAATGCATTGTTTGCGTCCATCTTTACGGTAGTAGCCGCCATATTCTCCACCAAACTTTTTTAGCAGCGTTTTTGTGACCAAAGACTCGTGTAAATTATTTCGAACAATAATGACCTGTTTTACACGATAAGGTACACAATAGGTACTGTTAGATATTAAAAATTATCAAAAAAGTTCTTTTCTATTCGAATTAATAGTACATACCGTTCTTAGGTTATGTAGTAATTGAATCAAAAATAAATAATAAATAAAAGTTGTACCTTTTTGTTTGTTTTTTTCTTTTCTACAACAACATGGATCTTGTCACATGATATATTTATTCGGCGGAACGTGATTGATTGATCAATTTAAATCAAGTTGCGCCATTGCTAACACGATGCGAAAATGTGGAAACAAAATATGGTAACGCTGTCAAACAAATTCTGTTTTCTACAAAAGCTTTTTAAATAAGTGCTCGCAACAAAAAAATTGTTGCATTTATCAAACTTAGGAATAACGTTGATTAAGAAAAAAAGTGCCCAACTGCCCAAATCCCCCCTATGAAAAACAGGACCTGTAACATCGACAAATAAAAGCGGTAAGAAAAACTGATTATGTGACTAGGTTTTTCCGTTAGTCATGTTTGATTAGAACGCTAATAATTTTTCAAATCCATAAAATAATGTTAACGAATTTTTAAGAGTACCAAATGATGTGTTCTAGGTGTTATTTAATTGAAAAAATTACTGGTATTGTCCAAAATGAGATAGACGTGTAATTTTGCCAAAGAAGAAACTGACATAATGAATAATAGAGGTCTACAGCATTTATCTGACAAAGCCACCGCCGGACACTGTAAATATTTTTAGGACTAAGAAAAAATTAAACGTTAACCTAATCGGTTTTGACAACTCATCCCTAAAGATAAACACAAACATCAGACACACCAAACTAAATAAGAAGTAACGAAATTCAATAATCTAGAAATAAGAAAAACAAAGATTTTTTAACGTTTCAATAACCCTCGAACACATGTCGGTTCCCTTATTATGTACCCTAGTCTAGAGTCTCATAATCACCCTCCACAATCGATACAATTACTGTTACATTGCAACTGCGGAATGTACCAACCATTCTATCACTCGATCTACCGTCCACCGTTCATGCCTCCCTACATCCCTCAACCACTGCCAAGACCGTATCACTTACAACACTACCAGTACACCCAGTTCGTTAGTCCTTTCAATGTGCCTAATTCAAACCCCGCAGCAGTCATACCCTCACAAACTGTACAGCAAAATACCAACAATCAGGTCACCTCAACCCCTCTTGATCTGCCCTTCGGGCCTCCGCCCAGAGATCGCAGAGTTTTGGACAGGCAGGAGAATCAGGAAGAAGAAATTGAGTCAATTACGTCTCTTAGAAAGAACGTTGGAACTGCTCGTGTAGATAATTTACCCATGACTCTGTCACAGCCGTTACAAAATCTCACCGGCGGCATTGATATGAGTAACTTGGCCCTCCTGAAAAACTCGTTGGACATGTACGATCTCCAACGAACTGAAAACTTCACGAATATGCTCGAGTTAGGATGCTCATTGGCAGAAAGCATCGCCGTAAGAAACCAACACAGACCTTGCTTCAAGAACATCCAAAATCTTTGCAGTCGCACCAGGGGAGAAATACTCAAACCCAACACGACCCATGCCAACATACACTCCCAGGGGATACCGTGGGCCACCAAAGATTTTATTTATGCGTTTGTACGAGCCGTTAATTGCTGGTACATACTCAACGGGTACATGGGCGAGATCGATCCCAAGCTCGGTAAAATTGAGAAGGAGATCTCACCCGAATTCCGGGAGTGTTACCAAAACTGGGAGACCCACACCAAAAAGCTTACGAGACATTTGATAAAAGTGTTTTCAAGTCTCGATTCCATTGTCAGTAACTTGAGCACTTTCTCTCAAAACCAGTCGACCAATGTGGTCCTCAACAAGACCATAGGAAGCAGGATGTTGCAAAGAAAACCCGGAGGAGGTGATGAAATTGAAGAGTCGGCCACTTCTTCAGGTTTTTATTTAGCCAAAAGGAGCTCGTCCAACACTAACTTGTCGTTTATAAAAGGGATGCGAGGAGTTCTGCAAATACCTGAATCTTCTTCGGACACCCGCTTGCAGGTTTCTGAAAGTACAACCGAGGTGTCATTAAAAAATGACGATTCCGAAGACGAAATTAGAACCTACATGAAGCCGGGTAGTTATAAAACCCCGAAAAAGAAAAGCTTTAGTGAATCGGTCGCAAACAGTCCCAGGTAAGTTCCTAAAGATCTCAACAATTACAGGGCATCCTACCAGAACAACTAAAGATAATCATTTAAGTGTTACTTAATAGAGGAGAGTGGGATAAGTAGGTAACTAAGAGAACGGCCGATAACTGGGAGCTTCTGAGCTCCGTTTTAATTTTTATTTATTATGTCATTTAATACAAAATCATATTTTTATTGGGTTTAATCTATTTTTTAAGATGTCAGATTGTATTAAATCAGTTGTCACTATAATTAAGATCGCAAAAGCTTTATATTAATCCATGTGTACAATTCTATTTTAATTTGCTAATTGTCAAAGTTTGCATTTTTATGCTTTATTTTTCGCTTCCATTTTGATTAGGTTATACCATTCCACTCTCCCCACTCTTGAAAACGAATAGCATTTTGGATGGCCCTACTAAAAATATTCGTCGCCAATCTGCTGACTTTTCCGAATGTTAAAGAGTCAGAGAGTAAAAGAAAGAAATAGCAAAAATTGTCAGCCACACGGGATCGTTAGTGAATTAAATTATTTAGTCACGAAATTTTAGATCGATAGAGTTCTTCGAGCGAGCCCAGAACGTGCCAGCCCATTACAGGAGGGTTACCACCGACCGATCCGACTCTCAAAATTCGGAGGGTGACAAAGCCTGGCGTTCTGCCAAGGACACTGCTCCCAATTTCGTTAAGCGTAAGGAGATAGTGAGCATTCCGTCAGAAATGTCATCGGTGGACGACCAGCTGGAGACCCTCTTCGACATCAGTTCGCAACGTGAAACGACGGAAATCGAAAATTGGATCAGCGACAGCCCTTTCAACTGCGAAACATCCCACGAAAAAGACTACGTGAACGTCAACGGGAAGTCCTTCTCGTCAAAACAGGTGACCGTTTTGCAAAGACCCAAAGTAATTGAGGAGAAAATGGGCGAAAATGTGAAGCCCTATCCCGTAGGCGATGTCATAGCAGCGTCCTTGAAGAGGAGTCTTCTACTCAAAGGGAACGGGACCGGCGACATACAATCTAGAACTTATAATAGAAAACGGGATGGGATTGATACAAAAGGATTCGTCAGCGGAGGATTTTTGACTTCGAAAAGCTGTTCGAGTTACAGAAAGTCTTTCGGGGGTAATTATTGGGAACACAGGAACGGGGGACTCACCGATTCGGCCATCGAAGCCCTGCAGAACATAGTTAAAGCCATGGAAATGACCGAGCTATCGCTCACCATGAAGGACTCACCACAGGCCGTTAGTTTCCTTCTAAATATTTAATATCCTCCCCTAGCTTTCGGCTTTTTAACGTAACTCTTTTTATTTTTCGTGACTTTAAAGATATTTTGATTTCAGTTGCTTCAAAATTAAGTATATTCGTACTAAAATAGGTAAAAAGTAGACTAGTCCGTCAAATCTTATTTTTTGTCTAATTTATTAATAACAAGATTCCCAAACCTTTAAAATAATTAGTTACTACTAACTTTTTATTTTGATAGTTTAACCGACTTTAAAAAATCATCCTGTATATCGTTTTTCTATGTTAAACTCTATTGTATAATCATAGAAAAATGTGAAGGGCTTCTAATTGTATCAGGCAACCCAACATGCACCGGTGCGAGATCGATTGCATAACGTCTTAGTAGCGCCAAATTAAATAATTCAAAATGGAATTTAATTGTACAACAGCTAGCAACTTAAATAACAAGGATTCATTTAAGATTTTAGGAGGAAAAAGTAATGTCAAACTGATCGATTTAAGCACAATCAAACAAAATCTTGAATCGAAAAGCTATGTGTACGTGAACGAAGTTGTGAGGGATTTTAGACGATTTATTAATTGCATTGAAGCGTATTTTATTCAGGTAAATTAATTGATAGAAACAAAGTAATAAACTTGTACTTTTGTGCTGTATACAAAACGTTTCGTTACAGAAAAGTGAAACTAGGAAGGTGACAGTGTTTCGAAATAAATTTGAAAAACTATTGGCAAATGAATTTCCTAACGTAGATTTTTCGTCGGTATGCGGTGATTTAAATGAAAATGTCGGACCATTAATTTTCAAGAAAGGAAGACCATCAAAAAAGTTTTGCGATGGAGAAGTAGAATAACGCACAGTCTCCCTCACTCTCACACTCTCTTAAACATTAATAGCTTATGATTTAGTGGCATTTGCCTTTTATTGTTTATTTAATTAGCAGTTTATCAAACGTACTGTTTATATAATTACTATTTTGCAGTAATCAAAGTGCCCGCGTATGCTTTTTTCTTTCACAGTTTTCTCAACTTTTTGTTTTCCAAACTTTTTTGTTTTAGCTTATGATTTGCGTTTATTCTTAAAACGACCTACTTTTTCTCTTTGTTTAGATTATCACGTCTATTGCTACCTCCTAAAACAAATATATGCCGCTTGTATCAAACGCAATCCGCTCTTTAAAATCCGAAAAATTAAAAATATTAAGCATTTATGAGACAAGGGCAGTTTACTTTTGATACATTTGGTATATAGAACGTTTCTGGTCTTACCTTTTAAACTAAAACTACGCTTTTTAAGCTTTAATATATAAAAACGTTGCTAGTATGGGCAAAATTATTTATTAACAAGAATGGTCTCATTTTTTTAATAGATCTTCGCCATGAAATTATTTAAGATGATAAAACAAACANAAAGATATTTTGATTTCAGTTGCTTCAAAATTAAGTATATTCGTACTAAAATAGGTAAAAAGTAGACTAGTCCGTCAAATCTTATTTTTTGTCTAATTTATTAATAACAAGATTCCCAAACCTTTAAAATAATTAGTTACTACTAACTTTTTATTTTGATAGTTTAACCGACTTTAAAAAATCATCCTGTATATCGTTTTTCTATGTTAAACTCTATTGTATAATCATAGAAAAATGTGAAGGGCTTCTAATTGTATCAGGCAACCCAACATGCACCGGTGCGAGATCGATTGCATAACGTCTTAGTAGCGCCAAATTAAATAATTCAAAATGGAATTTAATTGTACAACAGCTAGCAACTTAAATAACAAGGATTCATTTAAGATTTTAGGAGGAAAAAGTAATGTCAAACTGATCGATTTAAGCACAATCAAACAAAATCTTGAATCGAAAAGCTATGTGTACGTGAACGAAGTTGTGAGGGATTTTAGACGATTTATTAATTGCATTGAAGCGTATTTTATTCAGGTAAATTAATTGATAGAAACAAAGTAATAAACTTGTACTTTTGTGCTGTATACAAAACGTTTCGTTACAGAAAAGTGAAACTAGGAAGGTGACAGTGTTTCGAAATAAATTTGAAAAACTATTGGCAAATGAATTTCCTAACGTAGATTTTTCGTCGGTATGCGGTGATTTAAATGAAAATGTCGGACCATTAATTTTCAAGAAAGGAAGACCATCAAAAAAGTTTTGCGATGGAGAAGTAGAATAACGCACAGTCTCCCTCACTCTCACACTCTCTTAAACATTAATAGCTTATGATTTAGTGGCATTTGCCTTTTATTGTTTATTTAATTAGCAGTTTATCAAACGTACTGTTTATATAATTACTATTTTGCAGTAATCAAAGTGCCCGCGTATGCTTTTTTCTTTCACAGTTTTCTCAACTTTTTGTTTTCCAAACTTTTTTGTTTTAGCTTATGATTTGCGTTTATTCTTAAAACGACCTACTTTTTCTCTTTGTTTAGATTATCACGTCTATTGCTACCTCCTAAAACAAATATATGCCGCTTGTATCAAACGCAATCCGCTCTTTAAAATCCGAAAAATTAAAAATATTAAGCATTTATGAGACAAGGGCAGTTTACTTTTGATACATTTGGTATATAGAACGTTTCTGGTCTTACCTTTTAAACTAAAACTACGCTTTTTAAGCTTTAATATATAAAAACGTTGCTAGTATGGGCAAAATTATTTATTAACAAGAATGGTCTCATTTTTTTAATAGATCTTCACCATGAAATTATTTAAGATGATAAAACAAACAATTTCATTAATGACAATGGACGTACAACAAAGTAGTTATACACAATTATGAAACATCTTTTTTTGAGATATTTTTCGAGTCTTTTAGAAAAAGCGCTAGTTTTGCGATATGCACTGTAAGTATTTGTTACCATATTAAATTAAATTAAACAAATTGTAAAATTTTAAGAAATAAAGTCTTCTGAATGAACCCCATATTTAAAAAAAAGAAAAGAAGCAGACAACATCTTATGAGGTCATTTATTTCAAAATTAAAACTATAAAGTTATGAACAATATACAAGTCAGTTTGTTAGCTAATGTGCATTATTGTTTGCAAGATAATCTTCAATGTCATCTTTCAATTGGTCGTCTTTTTCCAGAAAAGAGACTTGTATGTTATTATTATTGCATCCGATATAAGGACACCGTGTGTGTGCATGTTTTGTGGTTTGCATATAATTTAGTATAGTCTTATAGTCATAAATATGCCCACAAACTTGGTTTCTGTATGGATCCTCAATAACCTTCTTCGTAATAGGATCTATTGGTGGTTGAAAAACCTGTGATACAAGTAAGCTACAATCAGCATCAACAGATACATTTGCTTCTGATTTCTTAGGTCTGTTTATACGCTTCCAAATAGGATGTTGCTTGTAGTCGTTGTTGACATCTTCCTGGTTCAAAAAATCATTGTAAACCTCTTCTACTTGTCTGGTAAAATCATTATCGCTATTAATTGAAAAATAATCGATAGTTTTGTCGATTGCTGCTTGGCATCGTTTATGTTCAATGTCCTCTTCGCAATAACTTTTAGCAATATCGTTTAAGATATTTAGATGTTGTTGTTGCCCCTCATCATCAATGTTTGTTTCTATAAATTTTTTACAAGATCTTAAAACATTTACGCATGAATTCAGTAAATTTTCGTATTTATCGGTCATTTTTCAAATTAAGATGATTCAAATTTTTGTAAATTTTAGAGGTTAAATTATTTTCCGTTGCAACATTGCCAAATCATACTAAATTTAGTCAATACGAGCAACTTATTTATGTTTTATTTTAAATCATTAAAGGAATTAAATACAAAATACGCAAATAAAACTTTATGAAGAACCGTTATATACGATTTATATAAAAAAAAATGCAATTTGTAGGTGCAACAACTCAATTTCTGTTTTCTCGCCAGTGATTAAAAAACAGTTCTTTTTAATAACGTTTAAAAACGTGATTTGAACATTCTTATCTATTATTAATCTATTGTTATCTATGAACCTATAAATCTATGAAGTCAAAATTCTTTTACCATTTGTATATCTATTATCTATGATTCTTTTCTTATCTGTGATCCTTTCGCAGTGCTTGTACCGTTGATGCGTCCACGTTTCAGTTAATTAAATACAAAAATGAATGAAACTCTTCTTTTGCGAGGTGTTCTTTTGGGGCACAACGGATGGGTCACACAAATAGCTACCAATCCAAAATATCCGGATCTTATTTTATCTGCTTCACGAGGTAAATTGCACATTTAATTACTTTTGAGGTTAACTGCTTGTATTATCATAGTTATAGTAAATATAACAATTTATCGTATTAATTAATAATCATCGCAGTGTCGAGTTGTTAAACATATAACATTCTTGTTCATTAATTTCTAAATTTGCTTGTATTTTAGATAAAACGTTAATTGTATGGGAGTTGACCCGTGACGAAGCTCAATACGGAATTCCTAAAAAGCGACTTTATGGTCATTCGCACTTCGTGTCGGACGTCGTCCTTTCTAGTGATGGGAATTATGCCCTTTCAGGATCCTGGGATAAAACACTTCGTCTGTGGGACTTGGCTGCAGGGAAAACTACAAGAAGATTTGAAGATCATACGAAGGTTTGGCTAGCTTTTTTAATAGCTCCGTAAATATAATTAACTTTTGTCCCTAAAACAGCTAGAAGATTTTTTTTTTATTTTGATTCTTATCTGCGTTCTTCGACTGAAGATTTCAACATGTGTCCTCTTGCAATTAGTATTAATAACAGGCATTTAGAGTAAGTAGAAGAATGTTATGAGACAAGTTGAAATATATGGCCACTTTTTTACTGGAATATTTAGTGAAATTATACCATTTAAAGTCTTATAGTTTGAAAATTCGTTCATTACTTTGTTTTTGTGTGACAATCCAATTTTTTTGTGACTAGGATGTACTGAGTGTGGCGTTCTCGGTTGACAATCGTCAGATTGTATCTGGCTCACGAGACAAGACCATTAAATTATGGAACACCCTTGCAGAGTGTAAATATACCATTCAGGAAGATGGACATTCTGACTGGGTAACAAACATCTTTGAATTACAAACATCACAATCTTTACTTCTCTTATGTCTTAACAGGTTTCCTGTGTACGTTTCTCTCCAAATCATGCCAACCCCATCATTGTGTCATGTGGCTGGGATCGTATGGTGAAAGTTTGGAATTTGGCCAATTGCCGATTAAAGATCAACCATTCTGGTCATACTGGTTATCTGAACACCGTCACTGTTTCTCCAGATGGTAGTTTATGTGCCAGCGGAGGCAAAGATTGCAAAGCCATGTTATGGGACCTTAATGATGGCAAACATCTTCACACTTTAGACCATAATGACATCATAACAGCCCTCTGTTTCTCACCTAACAGGTAAGAAAAATATGGGTGGCGCCAATTACTGTTAAGTTAATTGATGTAAATTGTTAAAAGTCTGGCCATTACTGAAAAGTCCATTGTTGTTGGTAATTGTTGGCCATTTTTGTAAGTTCATTGTTGTCGGCCATTTTTGTATGTTCATTGTTGTCTGCCATTTTTATATGTTCATTATTGTCGGCCATTTTTGTAAGTTCATTGTTGTTCAAAAAGTGAATTGTTGTAAATGCGTTATTGATCAGAATGTCTTATTTAAATTGTGATGATAACCTAGTAACCCCTTGAATTGAACCATGAAAGGGTTAAAGCGGATATGGGTCTGATGAAATTTTATTTTAATTTGATTTATATTCTTTTAGTATTTGATATTTAATATTTGTTTTTTCTTTATTTAAATTGAACGTAGGTACTGGTTGTGTGCTGCCTTTGGGCCTTCAATTAAAATTTGGGACTTGGAAAGCAAGGAGATGGTAGAAGAGCTTCGACCAGAAGTTATGTCTCAAAATAGCAAGGCTGAGCCCCCCCAGTGCCTTTCTTTGGCATGGTCTACTGACGGACAAACCCTATTCGCAGGATACTCTGACAACGTGATAAGAGTATGGCAGGTCAGCGTAGCTGTTCGATAGGGGCGTTTATGTGACATTTAAATGATATGTTTAATAAGTAATAACAATAAAACAAAAAATATTAAGCAATTTTTTTATCCCTTTTTCTTCCTTCTTCCTGATCATAAAGGCGTTGGAAGGAGTTGGCTATTTAATAATATAAACGCCAACTATCGGACTGCTTTTATTTATATTGTACTGTTAAATAAAAAATGTTTGTGTATGCGTGCAGCTACGATCTCGAAAATGGCTGAAATGATTTGGATTAAATTTGGTATATGGGGACGGGATCAGATTTCTTGCAATTTTAAATTTTTTTAATGTTGCATGAATTACGAGTAAAGAGTACAAAATCAAATGAAGTTAACTTGAAGTAAAAAAGTAAACGTTTACTTTTTAATTGAAAAATAAATATCATATTTATCACACTTGCAAGTCTAAATAATATACGTAAATAATTAATAAATATAAAATATCTAACATTGCATAAAATTTAGAGCAAGAAGTTAATATCGCTTCTTATTAGTAATATAGTTGTCGTCGATAGAATCTGAATCTGCGAAGTCTGTAAAATTAACATTAAACATTACTTTTGATTATTAAGTCGTATATGACATGTTAACTTACGTTCCTCATCAAATCCTCTCGAATTCATGTACTCAGCTGATACACTGTCCATGTCGAAAGATGAAAACTTTTCATGTTGAAATTCTACATACAGTTAATAAGAAATTACTGTAATTTTTGGCACGCAACCTTAATAAAAAAGATACTTACGAGAAGCGGTCACATTGGCAATGTAATTAAGCAAAAATTCCCTATCTTTGGCCGAAGCAACTAGCATTTTTCTTAATATTTTCACCATTTTGTATTGAGCTTTTCCCTTGGCTCTTAAGAAATACGCCCCAATACTAAAACAGTGTCAGTGAGACATATGATATTAAAAAATAACGAAAAACTATTATTACCAAAGCATAATAAAAATAAATGCAACCACCCCCGGTCGAGTAAAAAATATCACAATCTCCCAAAACACAGTGCCCCTTTCTAAATGTAATACGTCGATAATTATTTCATACATATAAGAGTTCCCCATGAAGGGACCACAACTCGATATGGGAACTCTACAAAATAAAAAGTTACGTTACTTAGAAAAAAGATATTTTTTGACTTACCTAATTATGATGTATCCGAAGAAAATAATGGAAAAGAAAAGGGTAAGAAAGGTGAGAATATAGAACACAGTGTTGGTTTGAGCTGCCCTCCAAGATCTGGCATATGACTTGCACAAATGCAAGGTACAAAAGGTCCTAATGTACCATGTGAACAAAAGTTTTATAGAAAGTACGACAGGAAGAACAGGGGAGAAAAAGAAACCTATCCAGAAGAGTGTTTGTGTGTAGATTAATTGAAAAGAATAACGAGCTATGTCAAACTCTGATAAACCGTCTTGTCCCATACAATCCCTAAGGATAAAAAAATCAATCAAAATTATTTATTACGTAATAATAAATAAAACTCACTTTTTAAAAAGATATCTCAATATTTCTAAAAAAGAAGATAGAATTACTGAAATGACAAAATCGAACACAATAAGTCTATAAATCTCCTGACCCAAAGATGTTTCCCAACAACTCTAAAAAAGTTACACTAAATAAAACACAAACATTACATTTCCAAATGAACTTACATCGTTATTTGAACGTGTTAGCCAGAAAGTCAATAGCACTCCAATAATAGTCAATTCGAGCATATAAGTTCGAACAAGTGTAATATTAAATGCTACGCTTTGATTAGAATACTTCTCATACCTTAAAATACACATTTTTATATAACAACTAACTTGTTTAAAATTGCAAATATTTCTTACTTTCTCAAATATCCAAATAAAACAGGTATTAAGAGCATACAAACGTTTATAATTACTGCAGTTACCAAAGCCATATTGGTCTTTTGACTTTCATCATCCAAATAATTTTTGCTCTTATCTAGTAACACCCACACTATGTAACCAGTTCCCATTAATAACAACACTGTACTAACATTAATCAACAGTTTTGTTGTCGAATTCCTAACTGTTTCACATATCGATTTCTTATCTTTTTCCTCTTTAATTTCGCTTAACAATTCCTAAATAAAAAGAATTTTTTTAAATGTAATATATTATGATATATCTAATTGATTATTGACCTTTAGTTCGTAATAAATAGCGGAAGATTTTAATTCTGCAGCCTTTTTTGTTGCTATATTAAAGTCCCAACCGCAAAAAATTTTTTGAGCAAAAACGTTCTGTAAGCCGCCTTTAGTCTCTATAAAACTTCGTCGATATGAACAGGCAGTACTAAAATTAAAATATCTTTTTCATTAAGTTCGAAATAAGAAAAAACAGTAAATCTAATACCAAAACATTTCCTTTTAAATGTGTATAGCTGTTAAAAAAATAAAATATTAATAACATTAGTATAATCTAGAAAACATAAAATGACTCACCTTATACTAATCACAATGAAAGCAGCACAGTATAAACAAATTTAAATTGAACGTAGGTACTGGTTGTGTGCTGCCTTTGGGCCTTCAATTAAAATTTGGGACTTGGAAAGCAAGGAGATGGTAGAAGAGCTTCGACCAGAAGTTATGTCTCAAAATAGCAAGGCTGAGCCCCCCCAGTGCCTTTCTTTGGCATGGTCTACTGACGGACAAACCCTATTCGCAGGATACTCTGACAACGTGATAAGAGTATGGCAGGTCAGCGTAGCTGTTCGATAGGGGCGTTTATGTGACATTTAAATGATATGTTTAATAAGTAATAACAATAAAACAAAAAATATTAAGCAATTTTTTTATCCCTTTTTCTTCCTTCTTCCTGATCATAAAGGCGTTGGAAGGAGTTGGCTATTTAATAATATAAACGCCAACTATCGGACTGCTTTTATTTATATTGTACTGTTAAATAAAAAATGTTTGTGTATGCGTGCAGCTACGATCTCGAAAATGGCTGAAATGATTTGGATTAAATTTGGTATATGGGGACGGGATCAGATTTCTTGCAATTTTAAATTTTTTTAATGTTGCATGAATTACGAGTAAAGAGTACAAAATCAAATGAAGTTAACTTGAAGTAAAAAAGTAAACGTTTACTTTTTAATTGAAAAATAAATATCATATTTATCACACTTGCAAGTCTAAATAATATACGTAAATAATTAATAAATATAAAATATCTAACATTGCATAAAATTTAGAACAAGAAGTTAATATCGCTTCTTATTAGTAATATAGTTGTCGTCGATAGAATCTGAATCTGCGAAGTCTGTAAAATTAACATTAAACATTACTTTTGATTATTAAGTCGTATATGACATGTTAACTTACGTTCCTCATCAAATCCTCTCGAATTCATGTACTCAGCTGATACACTGTCCATGTCGAAAGATGAAAACTTTTCATGTTGAAATTCTACATACAGTTAATAAGAAATTACTGTAATTTTTGGCACGCAACCTTAATAAAAAAGATACTTACGAGAAGCGGTCACATTGGCAATGTAATTAAGCAAAAATTCCCTATCTTTGGCCGAAGCAACTAGCATTTTTCTTAATATTTTCACCATTTTGTATTGAGCTTTTCCCTTGGCTCTTAAGAAATACGCCCCAATACTAAAACAGTGTCAGTGAGACATATGATATTAAAAAATAACGAAAAACTATTATTACCAAAGCATAATAAAAATAAATGCAACCACCCCCGGTCGAGTAAAAAATATCACAATCTCCCAAAACACAGTGCCCCTTTCTAAATGTAATACGTCGATAATTATTTCATACATATAAGAGTTCCCCATGAAGGGACCACAACTCGATATGGGAACTCTACAAAATAAAAAGTTACGTTACTTAGAAAAAAGATATTTTTTGACTTACCTAATTATGATGTATCCGAAGAAAATAATGGAAAAGAAAAGGGTAAGAAAGGTGAGAATATAGAACACAGTGTTGGTTTGAGCTGCCCTCCAAGATCTGGCATATGACTTGCACAAATGCAAGGTACAAAAGGTCCTAATGTACCATGTGAACAAAAGTTTTATAGAAAGTACGACAGGAAGAACAGGGGAGAAAAAGAAACCTATCCAGAAGAGTGTTTGTGTGTAGATTAATTGAAAAGAATAACGAGCTATGTCAAACTCTGATAAACCGTCTTGTCCCATACAATCCCTAAGGATAAAAAAATCAATCAAAATTATTTATTACGTAATAATAAATAAAACTCACTTTTTAAAAAGATATCTCAATATTTCTAAAAAAGAAGATAGAATTACTGAAATGACAAAATCGAACACAATAAGTCTATAAATCTCCTGACCCAAAGATGTTTCCCAACAACTCTAAAAAAGTTACACTAAATAAAACACAAACATTACATTTCCAAATGAACTTACATCGTTATTTGAACGTGTTAGCCAGAAAGTCAATAGCACTCCAATAATAGTCAATTCGAGCATATAAGTTCGAACAAGTGTAATATTAAATGCTACGCTTTGATTAGAATACTTCTCATACCTTAAAATACACATTTTTATATAACAACTAACTTGTTTAAAATTGCAAATATTTCTTACTTTCTCAAATATCCAAATAAAACAGGTATTAAGAGCATACAAACGTTTATAATTACTGCAGTTACCAAAGCCATATTGGTCTTTTGACTTTCATCATCCAAATAATTTTTGCTCTTATCTAGTAACACCCACACTATGTAACCAGTTCCCATTAATAACAACACTGTACTAACATTAATCAACAGTTTTGTTGTCGAATTCCTAACTGTTTCACATATCGATTTCTTATCTTTTTCCTCTTTAATTTCGCTTAACAATTCCTAAATAAAAAGAATTTTTTTAAATGTAATATATTATGATATATCTAATTGATTATTGACCTTTAGTTCGTAATAAATAGCGGAAGATTTTAATTCTGCAGCCTTTTTTGTTGCTATATTAAAGTCCCAACCGCAAAAAATTTTTTGAGCAAAAACGTTCTGTAAGCCGCCTTTAGTCTCTATAAAACTTCGTCGATATGAACAGGCAGTACTAAAATTAAAATATCTTTTTCATTAAGTTCGAAATAAGAAAAAACAGTAAATCTAATACCAAAACATTTCCTTTTAAATGTGTATAGCTGTTAAAAAAATAAAATATTAATAACATTAGTATAATCTAGAAAACATAAAATGACTCACCTTATACTAATCACAATGAAAGCAGCACAGTATAAACAAAACATGGTAAATAAATAGGCCTGGGACATGTGGTAATTGTGGTTCCCAATAAGTGTTATAGTTTTGTTTGTGTAATGACCATAAAATAATATTGTTCGGGTCAGGTAGCCCTAAATGTATAACTATGTGAAAAAAGTAAACAAAAAGATATTAAGGTTCACACCTGTCCTGAAAAGAAGTCGTACCACTTCAAAGTTTCGTTATTATCAATCCCATATCCCTTATTGCTAGAATATAAAATTTGAGGCACTACTATAAAGCCTAAAGCTGGAATTGCTAGAATTACATTCATTAGAAAAAGCCAACGCAAGAATCTGAAATATGTGGCAACTCCCGACCCAAAATTGCCCTCTATCATCTTCAGAGAACTATACCACAGTTCAAAAGAAACCATAAAGTTTTTAATCCAATTTTCAAGCTAGAGAAAATAAAAAATACACTCAAAATGCAACCTTTTACAGAATGGAAGAATATCATAATACCTTAGTAATTTGCATTTTTACTTTATACTTAGTACGTTTAAAAAACCCAAGAGGTTTATGTTTAGATCTTCTACTAACAGTTTGAGTGAGACGTTTTTGGACTAGTCTCTTTACAGTCAAACATTGCGGCATGTTCCTCAGAGTTTCCCTATCAATTGGAAAAAATATACATATTAAATAGAATAATTACTCAATTGGAATATAAAACGTACTGTCTAAGTTGAGCAGCATATGGTGTATTCTCCATTAATGAGGGGTCATCTTCCATCCTGCAAGCTATGTTATTAGCATAATTCTCTAAAGGCATCCTAGACTTTTCAGGTGCATCTTCAAAGAGAAAGTATATTTACTTTATAGAAATACGAACCTTTAACATAAAATATGCAAATGGTACTCATTACCTGCTGGAAGATTGGACCAGGAATGACTGCCTGGAAAGTGCCTTGGAAGAGTCCTTGATGGCATGCTTTCCATGGTCTGTTTAAGTGCCAAGTTCCAACGAAGAGTTGCATTACGACTTCTGGACTTGTTGCCAAGTTCATTCCATTCAGAATGCATATATCGTTCACTGTCACTGTTCCCATCAGAAAAACCCTCATTTAAATTTGCAAAATGCGAACTATGTCCATTTTGAAAACTGTCCCAGTGACTTTCTTGGATTTCATCATAATTATTGACATTCTTATCCATTGGATAAATGTAAAAGCTATTGTCCCGAGGTAAGGAGGGGCGTGATCTGCAAAGTTAAATTCTTTAAGTATCACCTTTTAAGATTGGTGTAATGATGTGGTATATAACTCTAATCGTAATTATAAACAATTCTTAAAAGAAACTTCATAGTATTTGTCGACAAACTTTTTAGTAAGAAAAATACCTGTCCATATTTAAAATACAATATTAAGCAAATACTGGAGAGGCATATTACTCAAAGACTTAACAATAGTCTGTTATTTGCAGCAATAAAATCATTGTACATTGATATCATGTAAACTGATAAGATAGGAATTACAAAAAGATACTTATCAATCTCAATTCAATGAGTCACTAATTGTTTTTCGGTTTATTTAAACAAGAGAATGAACGTCGTAATAGTTTTCTAAGTGATAAGCACATAGCTGTTAAATATATTTACAAACTGTGCACCCACTCCTGAGCTGTTATTGAGTTTAGTTAATGTACCGAGTTACACAGTACAATTGTAGAAAATCAAAATTGACAATACCTAACAGAAACTTAATTAAAGTAGTTTAAAGAATATAAATTGACCATATTTCGTATTCAAACAAAAACAATCAATTCAAAATGTTTAACAATGCATAACCTTATTTTCAGTAGTTACAATGCATCGTAGTGCTACTTCAGCATCTATGGTTATTAGTTCAAGTGTAACGTAATGAAAGTTCATCGTTTCTCTAATAGGTGACGCTCAATGTACTTCTACTAGAGATATTTTATGAAAAATGTTTTGATTGTTACGTGAAAGATGACGCGACATACCTGGTTTTAATCATTTAACAGCTAGGTTTTCTTCTATATCAACGAGCAATTATGAAATGTTTTACTTACAGTGCAGGTGCCCTCCCACGTTTTATCATTGTATCGTTTTGTAAGTAAACAGTGAGGCTCGGTAACGGTGCACGAGTCGCGTAAATTGTGACTATTAGTGTTTTTCGTGATGTCTGGTTATTCAAGGACGGCAGAAAGCGATGCTTGGGCCCTTCTGGCTCTAAAGTCGGCGCCCACGAGTCCGTCAAAAGTGCAAAAATGGTCCCCCGAATCGCAGGGGGATGTGATAGCATGTTTGGAGGGCCGCGGTTTCGAATACATGGTGCGTCAAAATAGAATCGTTATCGGCCGGAACAGTTCCCGTGGAGACGTGGACGTGAATATGGGACACTCTAGTTTTATATCAAGGAGACATTTGGAAGTGTTTTTCGATCATCCCTATTTTTACTTGATGTGCAATGGGAAAAACGGAGTGTTTGTGGACGGCGTTTTTCAACGTAAAGGAGCACCGTCCATACAGTTACCGAAAACGTAAGTTAATAAAATTAATTTTTGTTTCAAGTGGTAATGTTATGTAAACAAACGTATGCTTGCCGTTTTCGATGATTGAATGCATGTGTTGTGGTAGCGTGTTTATCTTTGTGGGCCTTGAGGTTATTACACATGCTGTTGTCTTTATTTTGCGTGACGTACTCGTCAATACTCTCATGATAATTCTGTTTCCGTGCCCCCGTGTGTGAAATTTAACCCACACTCTGCATCGGAAAATCGATACAAGCCCTATCGGAAAAATATAAATAAACATTGGAAATGCTTTCAGAAATTTTAACGTGGTGTGTTTATCGAGCCAATGACGTCATAATAGGCTGTCTCATGTTTCCGACTCCGGTGCGAGCCAATTTCGCTCTTATTGTCCCTGTTCGGTCGGTATTTTGACCGAATCACGTAAATATTGATGGAATTATTATTATAACAGCAAAACGTACCACGTGGTTTACGTTCGTTTTTGTAAGAGCAACTTGCTTATAATATTGTTAAATGTTGGGGTTAGATTATTTTTGGATGAGCCATTTTTTTTCGCAATAGAATAATGAAACGGCGCATTCGTTGGTTACATTTTTTACGACTCGAAACCTATTTTGGTAAAACACGCGTAACTATTTTAACTTTTATTTATGAAGCAAAACGACATCCATATTGAAACCACGTGTTTTTATGTATTATTCATTTATTAGTGTGCAGATAAATGTACCAGCTTAAATATGTATATTTTAGGTTATGTGAAAACGTGGTTTGCTGTAATTATTTTCAATAATTATTCTTTCATTATTCTTCTTTCTATTATATTGTCGGCCATTATTAAAAGTTCATTGTTGTCAGCCATCATTGTAAATTCTTTGTTGTCGGCCATTAATACAAGTTCATTGTTGTCAACCATCATTGTAAATTCATTGTTGTCGGCCATTATTTGAAAGTAATTTTCATTGTTGACGACCATTGTTTGTCATTGTTGTTTTTCGAATTACGGTTTTCATTATTGTCGGCCATTGTTTGAATAAAATAAACATTACGTTGTCTGTTCATTAAACCAGTAATTTTTATTTTAAAATTAGATTTTAAAAGGCGCACTTAATTAAACCATCGTTATCTTTCATGTCGCGTTAAAGTTCTTTATCTATTTTGCGTATATATAAACATCTGTTTACGTGAACTTACAAGATAATGGCCCACCTATGCGGCCAGTATGAAATTTGAACTTTTATTTTTATCGCGAATTTACTTTTTAACGGTTTAATTTTGAATTACAATGTTCAAAATTGAGATACCTACAGATATCTACTTCTACTCTCTGTATTTTTTAATGATAATTTTCTCGGCACGACCTAAATATAAACGCGAAAATGGGTCAAGGATAAGTTAAAAGCATTCCTAGCAAATCTTCAACAGCATCGTGGAATAAGAATAGAAACATCGAAAATGTTAATAACATTTAGTTATGTTTACTCTACAGCACATTTTTCATTCTTATTTACACTTTCACTGATGGAAATATAAATATTATTGCAAGGTCACGATACTAGACAACCCATTTTCATAAGCACTGAATAATAAAATAATAGGTGCATTTGTGTTTTTATTATTTGTTTGATTTTATTGCGAAAAACTTGACTTAAAAAATATCGTTCTTTTCTTGATTTTAATTTACCTGTAATACATGCAATTAAATTTAACTAGAAAAATAGTGAAAAATGCAGTAGGAAAACAGGAAGCAAATTAAAGTGTCTGGTTATGTAGGTACCTATAGACGTTAAAAATAAACAACACGATTGAAAGTACTCAATAATTAAATATAATGAATTGCAGCCTGTGAATGGAGGAAATTATTCATGTAGTAAAGTGTGAATTGCAATTTATTTATCAATAAAAAAAACTAAATTGATAAATGTATTAAATGGCGCACGAAATGTGAAATAAAATGATGTAATAATAAAATACTGCAAATAAATATAGATACATATAGTTATTTGTTTATGTTAAAACAATAACAAAATACAAAACCAATGGTCGATGAGAATAGAAAATGTGAATGACACAGCTTTCCTAAATCAGTTTAAATTGAGCTGCGCTGTTGATTATGGTACCTGCTCAAACGGAACGAGTTTAAAGATTATTTATTTATGTATCGTCGTCGTTGGTTTTAATTGTACTTGTTGGGCTTATTGTTAAAATGTAATAATTTCGCAGCGGAGTATTTTTGATGTTTTCTGGAGGTCATTTACTACAATAACACGTTCCGTAAATAGCATGCAAATTCGATAATTACATGGCTTAATCAATAACTCGAAATAATCGTTTTACGTGTAAAAATAGATAATTTTACTGCCTATAAGTAAATATAAAATACAAAAACATTTACCTAAATTTATTACTTTCCCTTTTCGTATTGCAAACAATAAAATAAAAGTTCTGTTGTTAATTTGGCGCGACTTTATTAAAAATTGCAGCGTAACTAGGTATTTTAGAAGCGTTATCATTAATTACATCATCTTTTGTTGCGTTACTGGCTTGGTGTTTACCAAACGCTGTTTTTCGCAATAAAAAAAAACATGATAATTCCTCGTCAAGTACTGTTAATTGTACGTAAAAATGTGAATTGGTACACTGTGGTCTTGTTTAAGCTATCATATCATTTATTGATGTCCAAAGTTGACAAACAGACGTTTATCACTTTCGAATCCAAAAAACTTCCGATTTTTTAGAAAGTAACTTCAATGTTCGAACTATAATCATAAAAAAACATTAAATTTGAGATAACAATTGCATTTGTTTGATCCACTTTTTAATTGTATTGGTACGGCTTTTATAAAAAAAACCTTAATCCCATCTTATGTGTGATACATCGTAAGCTTTCGCGGCCAGAGTCCAACTTTTCTTCCTGGCTTCTGGGCTTCGCCGTGGTGGAGGTTGAGATCAAGGGGACGAATCGGGACCACGATGGAATCCAGAAGCCAGGATAAAGAAACAGAATGTGCCTGTTTGTACACGATGAACTAATTTTCAGCCAATAAAGATTGTTTTTTTTTTTTTTACATAGATGTACTCTACGTTTCCCAAGTACAAACATCAGATTGATGTTTAAATCTTTGGTGGATGAAAGCAGCGAACCACCCCCTCGGGTACGTGAAGTGTCTCCCTCACAACAGCGAGACAGACCAGGCGGTGGAGTGTGTGCGGCAGGGCCGCTGCCTCCTTTAAGGATTAACATCCCCGAAAATGATGGCTTTAGCAGTCCGTTTCCTTCACCTACTGGTACGATTAGTGCCGCCAACAGTTGTCCTGCTAGTCCACGGGGTGAGGATGGATTTAAAAGATTATTTACTTTTTACGGAAATGTAGAGTGTTGATTTTTTAAAGGAGGACACGGTAGAAGGAACGTATCGGCAGACTTGCAAATGGTCGCCCAGTATGCAGCACAAGTTGCTCATCGGGATGACGGGCATCATTCCACCGCACACAGTCCGGAACACATCTATCGACAACCCACGTCCAATGGAAATTCGGTAAGTGGAATATGTGCATTGTCTTCATCTAGTCCAATTGATTAAGGAGAAATTAATGCTAAACAGAATTTGTGATGTCGAGTTAGGGTGATAATAATAGTAATCTTTTTGGAGAATTGATAGAAAAATAAAATTAAAATAAGTTTTTGATACGTTCAGATTCATTATAATCATCGAGAAAATTATAATTAAAAATTTACTCTTCATTTTGAAATTTAAAAGTTGTGACAAAACATAACGTAATATTACAATTAAAACGTCATTTATAACTAAATCCCAAATAGTTGACTTATTAATTTTTGATTATATGTAGTTTGAGTAGGGCTCTTTTGTGTCTTTTCGTATATTATGTAACTCGTTCGAATTTGTGACGGTCTGTATATGGACAAAATTTGGCCTAGAAAATGATAAATTAATTTGGGGTAGAGTAGCGTACGTGGTAATCCGAAAAACCATAAGAAATCTTGCAAAACTTCTTGCTTTTTATTGAAATTTTAGTCGTTTTTATTTTGGTTTTTTATTGTAGTTTTACATTAAAAATAGTTTGTTTTGCAAAATTTTATTTAGTTTCATCTGATTTGTGCACATCTTTACAATGTTTTGAGTAAAGCTTCAGTAATGCCAACTTTCCTTTTTGTTATTTGTAATACCAACATGAAATTTGAATGTCAAAAAATATATTTTTTAAGTGATAATTATTAATAAATTACGAATTTATGAAAGAATTTCCATAGATTCTAAGCTACCAGAACGTAAATTAACAGTGTACAATAATTTGGTTAAATAAGAAGAACTTTAAATATTTGTAAAAGGTTTTCATTGTTATAACCTTGTTTATTGTAATGTTACTTGTGTTTGTTTTGCTTTTGGGGGGTTTTATTTGAGTTGATTTCGTGTAATTTTTCTTTCTCCAATTTATAGCTTCCACCGGTGGTTATAAACGATTCTTACGGAGCAGGCAGCAGCAGCAGTAATAGTAGTACAAAAGACGACTCTAAGCCACCGTACTCGTATGCACAGCTTATTGTTCAGGCCATAGCTAGTGCCATTGACAAACAACTAACTCTGTCGGGAATTTACAGTTACATCACCAAAAACTACCCCTACTACAGAAACGCAGATAAAGGTTGGCAGAACTCAATACGTCATAATCTCAGTTTAAATAGATATTTTATCAAGGTAAGTGTGTTTTAATGTTTAAAACTTCAATATTAAAATAAAAGTATTCACCATTTATATACTACTACTTTACTTTTAATGGCATAACTATTACAGGTACCTCGTAGTCAAGAAGAGCCTGGAAAAGGTAGTTTTTGGCGTATTGATCCACAATCTGAGGCAAAGCTTATTGAACAAGCTTTTAGAAGAAGGCGACAACGTGGGGTGCCATGTTTCCGTGCTCCATTTGGTCTCAGTTCCAGGTATGTCACTACAATCCTGTGATTCTTTATTTTATTTTGTTAGTGTGAAATTTTTTATTTGTTTATATAATTATTCTTGAAGAAGTGCTCCCGCTTCTCCAAATCATGTGATGTCCTCGGGGCTGATGACACCTGAAGGCCTGTCTCGCGAGAGCTCTCCCATTCCAGAACAAATGGTAGAGATAAGTCAGTCGGCACCGGGAAGTCCTGGACCGAATAACGTAAATTATCCTGGTTCAGGGGGCATGATTGGACATCAGCAGATGTCTGCCCTTATGGGGGGCACAAAATCGAGATTGTTGGTGCCCCAAAGGACAGAAATAGACCAAGTCGTGCAGATGAATTCGTCGTCAAACGGTCAGGAATATCCGGAAGGTAAATTACTTAATATTTAATTGTAAAAAGTAAGTAGGTAGAAAATCTAAATTATATACTGTCATTCAATATTTCAATCAATTAGCAAAAGCAAATATAAAAATCGTTAAAATATGAAATTTAAAAAATGAATACTACAAAATGTTACTGAAACTTAAATTAATTAATAATGAATTCTTTTTATTTGTATGAAAGTTCTCTTTTTTCTTGTAACTCATTTCTTTTTCTTATTTTTGTAATCCCATTTTTTATATTTCCTATTAAATAAATAAATAATGTTAATTACTTTTAGAAAGGTCGATTAATGATGTGTTTTACAGATAAATATCAATTAGTTAATTCTGCACAAGTAATTGAAGAACAATCTTTGTCACCTGCCCCAGCTTCTTTTTCACCTCAGCCAGTCATCGTTCAAACCCAAAATTACACTCAGTACAGGTAAAGAGTGTTTGTTTTATGTTACTTTTTTATTTTACGTATCAGAAAGTCCTTTAATTTTTTTCATGTTGATAGTATAACACTCAAGTGTATTATTAATTTTTAATATTGTACCATTGGGTACTTATACATAACGCATTAATTATATATATATTTAACGTCGCAATGTCTTTTTATCATTTAGTAGTGTGTACAGCAGCATGGGCATAGATTTAAAAAGGCACATGGACGAGCGGAGTTCAGGAAGTCCTGTGAGTGGAGGTGAGACGTTGGAAACGGGCAATGAGCCCGAAACGAAACGTTTTCGTAGTGAACAGCATCAACAACAGTACGAGACAGAGTAGGTGTTAAAATATTAGTTTTTAATCCACAAAAAGACACTGTATATGTTTTACAAGTCTTTTATTATTAGATCGTTATCTAATGAAGAGAAGGTAACTAAATTATTTGATAAGTTAAGCATAAAGCTATTCAAACAAGCGTACATTTTGTTTTTTTTTTTTATTCTAATTCAGTTCCAATTAAAATGCTTTAAAATATCATTTTTTAATTGAATGATACTTGCAAGTTCTTTTTTAAATTTTTATTAGTTTTTCATTTTAGGTGTTTTAAAACTTTTCAGGATTTGTTAAATTTCATTAATAAGCTTTAATCGGTACAGTATATGTTTTTATAACGCTTTTAATTAAATGTTTTCATTGTAAGTGGTATGATCTAATAAAAAAACTTGTAGAACGTCAAAAATTTGCGTTCGTTAGAAAATATTAAGATCAAAAAAAACAGTTAGAAATTTTTTGAGTTAATATTTTGTGTGTGCCCTAAAACGAAGTTCGACCGAAAGATTACCTTTGTAAACCAACTGTTACACTTACTTCTTCCGAACAATGTGTAGAAAAAACCGTTTCAACTAGTACTTCTGAAGGGGACGACAGGTAGCTGGACTGCTTGTCGCGACTGCCACTTTTGACTATTACAATTCGAATTGTTAATATAAAATGCAATATATTTGTTTGTCGTACACGCTCCTAATTAACGTCTTTGTTAGTAAATAACCCATTTTATGGCTTCCTTTTGTTAGCAATGAATTTTTTAAAGTCGCCGTACTTCTAGTAACTGCAGAACATTGTAAAGAATGTCTAGATGATGCTCATTTTTTTTTTATTTATGACGGTTATAAGTTATTCGATAGACCTAATAGTCGGTCAAGTTTTTTGTTTTTCTTTTAGTAAACAATTGACTATTTGCATACGTGCATTTTTCTCTAGGATCTTAGTAATTAAAACGTTAAAGACATTCTGTGCAATGACCAATTTTTTGAGGAGTTCCTATGCATCGTTAAGTTTGTTTTGATTAATTTCTAATTAAGTCGTTAGTATTAAACTATATTTAATACACACATTAGACGAAATTACAACTACATTGCACCCTTTTTGAAACATAAAACAGAAACAAAATGAACATAACGATTAAAGATGAATCGTTTAACTTTTTTTGTGTATAAATAGTTGTGTAACAAGATTTTTTGTTCGAAATGGCAATAAGGTTCCCATATATGTGTACGCAATTGTCAGCGTTTCTTTTTATTTGTTATACTTGAATACTTATTGTTTGTAGAGAAAAAAAGTGGAAAAATTAAAGTATTTCCTTTTTATTTGTATGTAACGTTATTTTAACGAAACATAAATGAAATTGATTAGCTTAAGATGTAAATAAATAAAATGAATAAATACTGTGTAATACTTGTATAAAATGCAAGACTTAAAAAAAAAGAGAATTTTGTGTCGTAAGTCATCAAAGTTTTTGTCCTTTATACATTTCGCATACTGTTTCTGAATTAATAAGAAAAGCTTTTTTGTAAAACGATTGCGATCTTTTAGTTTGCCGAAATAGTTGTTATCGAATACTTTCAGCGGTTACATGGAACATTTTTTTATATATTTTAAGCGATAGTCATGTAAATACATAAAATATGTTTTAATTTTGTCGCTTTGAAAACAATTTTTATGTGTACTTTTGTTTCAACGATTAAGCTTTGTAAATTACATACTCTTTTTTGTAGAGTGTTAATTGTTTTTATTAGAAAATAAATTATTTCTTTACAGAAGTTTAATGTTCTGTAAAATTCGAAAATTTACAATCATAATAGCCTGCTGTACATCTATGATTTTTTGTTTACAAATTTCTGTGAAATTACGGCATGTCTACTCGCCGTTTTTTATGTCATTTGGCATTTCCTACGATGTTTCTATGTATTCCCATTCCTATTTATTTCATTTTATATCCTTTTAATCTTTTTTTATTTAAGGTATAGGTTAAGTCTTTCGTCGTGACCCTTTGTAATTCCTGTGGGTAGGGTAGATGAATTTAATTTTAGTTTATTGTAACTTCAATATAAGAAACAAACGATTATGGCGTTACCTGAGAACTTTACCTAGTCTAGGCTGAGAACGAGAATAGAATTGTATGTATTTTTATTGAATTTTGAACACGCCCTATTTATTCTGTTTGTATTCAATGGTACAGTATATTTCTATACCCTTTGTAGATCTATTATCTATGGCTATGATAATACTTTATTTGTGACGTGCTCTATGGATAGTTTATGGTGTCTTGTCTATGGTCGTCATTTTGTATTATCCAATTTTACTTTTTTTAATTAGTAGGTATATTCTAATTTTTCATGTCTTGTTTAATAATATTGCAGGTAGTTCTGTTTTGTTGTTCTCTTTTACACATTGACGTGTAAATCAAAACGTATTGGAGTTCATTCAAATGAATAGTATACGAGTGATACAGTCCTTCCAGTATTTCATTTGCTGTTGTTTTCATCTGGAATATCTTGTACTTTATGGAGGTAAGAATGTATGCACTATAATTAATATTTCAGACTAAAATATTTTTTCNTAAATCAAAACGTATTGGAGTTCATTCAAATGAATAGTATACGAGTGATACAGTCCTTCCAGTATTTCATTTGCTGTTGTTTTCATCTGGAATATCTTGTACTTTATGGAGGTAAGAATGTATGCACTATAATTAATATTTCAGACTAAAATATTTTTTCTTTGTCTCATAGTAATCTTTGTGATTTTTAGTTGTAGTACTTTTCACTTTGACATCGCATTCTCTACTTGTGTGAAGCTAACAATTTATTTATATATGTTTGTATTGTAGCAGTGCTTTACTCCAGTAGTAGCTAAAATAAACCTTAAGCTGCCCTTTTTTGTAGTGGGTGCAGACGGATCTGTTGCTAAAATACAACGTATTAAGTAGCTCCAGCAAAAAGGGCAAATCATTTTTGTTTTTCTTATTAATATTCACTTTTATCATTGTTGTCAGCCATCATTGTAAATTCTTTGTTGTCGGCCATTAATACAAGTTCATTGTTGTCAACCATCATTGTAAATTCATTGTTGTCGGCCATTATTTGAAAGTAATTTTCATTGTTGACGACCATTGTTTGTCATTGTTGTTTTTCGAATTACGNGGTGTCTTTATTTAATACCAAAGTTAATTTTCGTTCTTTGTCTATTGTTCAGTAAGATAGAAAGAAAGCTTCTCTAAACATTAGTACCATAATTTTATGTTGTCAATTCGTTATAAACAAATTATCAATTTTTAACTGAATTCAGGAGAAAAATGGTAAGAAATTATTAACATCAATTGTAATGAATTTGTTAATAAAACAGTAGTTCAGCAAGATAGAAAGAAAGCTTCTTTAAATGTTAATACCATAATTTTCTGTTGGAAATTTGTCATAAACAAATTATCAGTCAATCAAGTATCTTCATTTGTAATGTATATGTTCACCAAGAATGTACGTAAATTTTATTTTTAATTAATTTACTTGGAAATATTGCATTAATTTTTAGAAATTGATATAAGTAGTCATAAAAATATTCTGTTAGTGTTGTAGTTGTTTTGTTGGGAGTTTTTTTTTTAATGATGCATCGGTTGCTATTTACGAATTAAACTGAGTTAGTATAATTGAACGCAACTATAAAATCTATAATCTACGTCTCATAAATATCGAAGGAACTATTATCATCTTTGGATCTTTCGGCGATCTCGCTCAATAATGATGATGTCATTATCTATGCATCTTGTCTTCGCTCTTCGAGAAGACGAGCCAACGTTTTTGTTCTCCGTAAACGAAGACGACGCCTGAAGGTATTTAGCTCTAATTCTTCTTCGGTTTTCATTTGATTGTGTGGAATACTTTTTATATTTAGTAATTGATGGGGTTCGATTAGCGTTGCATAGATTTTTTTGGTGTGAACGACTTCGCTGGCGTGCTGGTTTCGTATTCCAACATGGAATTTTATCTTGGCGTGTTGCTTGTCTACTCATCTACTGTAAATTTTTAGATTCTCAGTTTATTTGGGGTCGATGAATTACGATTTTGATAGAATTATTGAATTTTGAAAACAGTTTTAGGCGATGATTATCGATTTTTCATATTTATGACCACATCGTGAAAAATTTCTTTCGTTTTATAGCTAAAATCATTAACAAAAACATAGTGCACATATGACTAATATTAAGTTGTTTTAACAGAATAATAAATGAATATGAAGACAGTGGATCAAAAAGGCTTGAAGTATGGAAAAGCAGTCCCACTCGTAAATTATACTCTTGGGATTGGAAAAGGCCCATTTGTGGAAACAGTAAGAAATCTTTAATTATTTTGTGAAGTTGCATTTGTGGTTGTAATTTTCTTCTAAATTGTAATAATTAATGACAGAGTTACTTCCATAGTCTATTATTTAACTGGTGGAAGTTACAGTTCTTAATATTTTACAACATAATTAATTAACATTAAATTATTTCAACAGGTTGTTGCAAAGAAACAAAAAATTAGGATTGGAAACTTGGACTCTCCACAATCTCCTCTTGTACTTGAGAGGTGCAATTTCCGTGATGTTCTGTCTCTTGCTTGTTGGCTCATTTCAACCATCAGTGTATTTCTCCGTTGGCAACGTTTAGTAATAAAACTGGAGCACCGTACTGTCTACAATAATCCTGGAGGTTAGTAATTGTTTATTATTATCACGGTAATTTTCACAGCAATGGCGATCTTTGGGATCTATGGTTTCTCTTCTGTTATCTATTGCCCACGGCATAAATTGATGATAGCGTGCATTTATGGTAGTCTAGCAACGATCTATTGTTCATAACGTTGGGTATCTATTATTTCTATTGTACCTATGCTTTTAACTTTTATCTATGAATAAAGTGACATACGTCTTCATTTTGTTATTTGATATTTACTTGTTTTCTACAGTAAATTTTTTGTGTTTGACTTAGGCGTATTTATTGCCTTCCTTAATAAACAATGTAATTAATATGTTTTTTGGTCATTTCTGCAGATTATCCAACAAATGAAAGAGACTAAGGTTCAACTTGGTCATACTGAAACAGCCAAGGTCTACAGTGGTGTCTTTTGTGAACTACATATTCTTGATTTGCTGTTTTCGTCTTCACCTTGCAACATCATGAAGTTAATTTTCAACTGATAAATAAGAACAACAGGAGATTTACTGAAACAACATTTTGTGCTGTGGTATTCCTTCTGGATTTAGTCTGCATTTCACATCTGCAAACTTTGAAAAGTTACAGTCTACAATTAATTAAGGTGGGAATACTTGATATAATTAATTTTAATTGCTCTTTATTAATCTGTTACCACCGTATCTGTTTCAGATCGACGTTGGAGAAGACAAAGATGACCCCGCAGTTGAAATAGTTCTTTATCTTGCATGCTCTATCTAGTAGAATTCATTAAGTTCGTTGAAATAGTTCTATATCTTGCATGCTCTAGTTATAAACAAATTATCAATATTAACTGAAATCAAGAGAAAAATGGTAAGAAATTATTGACATCAATTGTAATGAATTTGCTAATAAAACAGTGGATCAGCGATATAGAAAGGAAGCTTCTTTATATATTAATACCATAATTTTCTGTTGAAAATTTGCTATAAACAAAGTATCAATTTTTTGCTGAATTTAAAAGAAAAATGGTAAGAAATTATTAACATCAATTGTAATTAATTTGATAATAAAACAGTAGTTCAGCAAGATGGAAAGAAAGCTTCTATAAACGTTAATATCGTAATTTTCTGTTGAAAATTTGTTATAAACAAATTATCAATTTTTAACTGAATACAAGGAAAAAATCTTAAGAAATTTTTAAATCAATTGTAATGAATTTGTTAATAAAACAGTAGTTCAGCAAGATAGAAAGAAAGCTTCTTTAAACATTAATACCATAATTTTCTGTTGGAAATTTGTCATAAACAAATTATCAGTCAATCAAGTATCTTCATTTGTAATGTATATGTTCACCAAGAATGTACGTAAATTTTATTTTTAATTAATTTACTTGGAAATATTGCATTAATTTTTAGAAATTGATATAAGTAGTCAAAATATTCTGTTAGTGTTGTAGTAGTTTTGTTGGGGTGTTTTTTTTTTTAACGGTGAATCGGTTTCTATTTAGGAATTAAACTGAGTTAGTATAATTGAACGCACCTACATAACCTGTAATCTACGTCTTATAAATATCGATGGAAGTATTATCATCTTTGGATCTTCCGGCGATTTCGCTCAGTAATGATTATGTCATCTTGTCTTCGCTCTTCGAGAAGACGAGTCGACTTTTTTGCTATCCGTAAACGAAGACAACGCCTGAAGGTATTTAGCCCTAATTGTTCTTCGGTTTTCATTTGATTGTGTGGAATAATTTTTATATTTAGTAATAGATAGGGTTTGATTAGCGTTGCATAAATTTTTTTGGTGTGAACGACTTCGACGGCGTGCTGGTTTCGTATTCCAACATGGAATTCTATCTTGGCATGTTGCTTGTCTACTCATCTACCGTAAATTTTTAGATTCTCGGTTTATTTGAGGTCAATGAATTACGATTTTGTTAGAATTATTGAATTTTGAAAATAGCTTTAGGCGATGACTATCGATTTTTCATGACCACGTGAAAAATTTCTTTCGTTTTATCACTAAAATCATTAACAAAAACATTGTGAACATATAACTAATATTAAATTGTTTTAACAGAATAATAAATGAATATGGTGACAGTGGATCAAAAGGGCTTGGAATATGGAAAAGCAGAGTCCCACTCATATGTTATTCTCTTGGGATTGGAAAAGATCCATTTGTGGAAAGAGTAAGAAATCTTTAATTATTTTCTGAAGTTGCATTTGTGGTTGTGATTTTCTTCTAAATTGTAATTATTAATGACAGAGTTCCTTCCATAGTCTATAATTTAATTTGTGTAAGTTAGTTCTTAATATTTTACAACGTAATATTTGAGATGAAATTGACATTAAATTTTTTCAACAGGCTGTCACAAAGAAACAAAGAATAAGAATTGGAAACTTGGACTCTCCACAACCTCCTCTTGTACTTGAAAGGTGCAATTTTTGTGATGTTCTGTCTTTTGCTCGGTGGCTCATTTCTCGGTTGTCAACGTTTAGGAGCACCGTACTGTCTACAATAATCCTCGAGGTTAGCAATGTTTACTATTTTCACGGTAATTTTCCCAGCAAATGCGATCCTTGGGATCGATGGTTTCTCTTCTGTCATCTATTGGCCTTAGCATAAGTTGATGATAGCGTGAATCTATGGTAGTCTAGCAACTATCTATTATTCACAACATTGGGTATCTATTATTTCTATTGGACCTATGCTTTTTTAACTTTTATCTATGAATTAACATACGCCTTCATTTTGTAATTTGTTATTTACTTATCTTCCAGAGTAAATTTTATATGTTTAACTTAGGCGTATTTAATGCCTTCCTTAATTAACAATGTAATTAATATTTTGTTTTTGCCATTTCTGCAGATTATCCAACAAATGAATGAGACTAAAGTTCAACTTGGTCATACTGAAACAGCCAAGGTCTACAGTGGTGTTGTCTTTTGTGAACTATATATTCTTGATTTGCTGTTTTTGTCTTCACTTTGCAACATCATGAAGTTAATTTTCAACTGATAAATGAGAGCAACAGAAGATTTATTGAAACAACATTCTGTGCTGTGGTATTCCTTCTGGATTTAGTCTGCATTTCACACCTGCAAACTTTGGATTGTTACAGTCTACAATTAATTAAGGTGAGAATACTTAATATAATTAATTTTAATTGCTCTTTATTAATCTGTTTGCCACCGTATCTATGTACCCCTTTTTTTGGTAGCATATAGTAACAACG